TCGGCAAGTACCCCGGTTGGAGACATGTGTAGTTTGGCAATACCCAGCTTTGCCAGACCCCAGATAACACCATCATTGACCATGGATTGATGCGTAGACTCACTATGGAGAAGATTGCAAAGTGCCGCAGCGCAGATTTCCTTCGTTTCTGGGCGGTCACTTGAGACAAGTGCAATTATCAAAAGTGCGGGTACTGCATTTGCTTGGAGGACGAGCTCTTCAGATCCTTCATCAGCAGCAATATTACAAAATGTCGCCGCACAACCCCTCCTGATCTGCTCATCGGGCTTGTTGGACAGGTCGACCAGGACACGAAGCACACCATTTGTTAACATGAGACGGCGAGCATTCGGCTCATAGGACATATTAACCACGGCGTGAATGAACCGCTGCTGGGTTGGGCAGTCCTCGAGAGTGCTCAAGTCGAGAAGCGCATCCAGGAACTGCTCGGAGAGGCGCTGTTCGCTGAGCATATGCGCTCGATATGCTGCTTGGAATGAAAATCGGGAGAGGATGGCACCGCACTGGATTCGCGTGATCAGATTCCCAGACCGAGAAAGCTCAACAATAGGCATCAATGCACCTGCAGCCAGCATGCGTCGGCAATTAGCTGATGAATAAGCCAGCTGTGCGAGGGCGCCAATCGCATACGCCTTGGTGTTGGACCCCGATGCCGAAAGCGCGGCTCCTGAAAAGGATGGTGACTTCACGAGGGCTAACTCTGGTGCTGCTTCTTCTCTAGCAAGGAGGTCAATGAGCGCAGGAATGAGTGCGGTGGCGTCAATGTTATCGCTAGTTGCACGTGTTAGGTTCCAAAGGGTGGCCGCAGAACGTCGCACAATTGCGTCTGGGTAGTGAGTATCACAGAGATCACAAAGCGCTTGTTGGCAACCATGTTCCAGCATCACCGCTGCGTGTGTTTTGAAGCAACTGAGGTGATAAAGGGCACGACTGCACCACATAACGATCGTCGAATCGCGCGAGCCTGACAGTGTGACGATCGCATCTAATGCACCATCATTTATCATTGTATCAACAAGTTCAGTTTGAAAGAGGCTATAAATTGTACGCGAACAGTTTTGATTCGTGCGCGTGTCAGGCCCAATGAGGGATATCACGGCCTTGACTGCATCTTTAATCTGTGCTCTAGGCATTTTTTCGAAGAGATGATTCTCAAAGCCTGTTATGCATAGCTGGCGGAGGGCCGCAGCGCAAAGCCGGCCGGTGATAATGTCTTTCGACCCACACTGTGACATAGTTACGATCGCGGTCATTGCGCCTTGGTGAATTATCTTCTCGCAGCAGCTCACATCCATGGCAAGCCGAGTGATGGTCAAGGCGCAGGATTGCTTGATGTCTTCGTCTGCGAGCTTTGCCATGTCAAGTAGGACAATTATAACACGCTGTGCGGTCATCTTTGATCGTGATCGCGAACACGAACTCAAGTTGCTAAGTGTCTTTGCGCAGAGGAGCGTGGTCTCATGCAGCACTTGATCTCGACCTGGTTTAACCCATGGTCTGCCAGCCACAGCTGCGCGAAAAATTCTATTCACAATGCGCACAGCACCCTCTTCTACCAAACGCCCCTGGTTGTTCTTAAGACAGCTTAGATTACAGAGGCAGCCTACCAGCATCTGTTCCATTCGACCTGACATGCTGAAATTAGATAGCTGAACAATAGCGCTGTTCAAATCCTCGATGTGAGAATACATGTCCTCAACGCAGCTCAGGTTGCACAGAGTGAGAAGAATGGTCTCCATTGCGTGAATTGATGCTGATGCCATGTTGAGCAATGCGGGCACTGCGGAAGCTTGCACGATAGCCGCCTCCCCTCCACAGACAGATGACAGATTGACTAGAGATACAGCACAATGATTCTGAATCTCAGGATCAGGAGCGGCTGTCAACGACACAATTGCGGCTGCTGCACCGGCGTCGAGCATCGTTTGTCTCAGGTCTTTTTCATTTGCAAGATTGCGCAGTGCCATGGCACAAGACATCTTCGTGATGGGATCTTCCTCACGACACAAGGCCACTAGGGCATGTACTGCACCATCCGCTACCAGAGATCTCCGCTCTAAGCCATTGGTCGACAATGTCGCGAGAGAAACGGCGAAACGACGCAATTTATTTGAGCGATAGGCAACAAACTCCTGGCTATAAGCTACCTGTGTTCCATCTTCCTTCGTCCTTTCTTCATCCTTTTGACGTTCTGGCATCATGCGCTTGCGACGACCCTTATTCGGGTCTGCGTCTGGATTCATGCGAGATAAATACAATAGACCGCCAGAATTATCACCTGTGCCGTACAGCGTCATGCAACAAGAGCTAGTTACCAGGTGAGTGCGCGGCGAGCGCGCTGCTTGAAAAGAGATCACCCCTGTACGGCTTAAACAGCTTCTTGATGCGATCGGGTAGTACGTACTCGTCGGGCACCGCAAGTTTCTCGCCCTCGCCGACATCAGATTCTTCGGGCACCAACACAACCGCGTCCGACACTTCTAGAGCTTTGTTCAGACTGCTTCGCATCACGCGCATGGCCTTTTTTGCTTTGATCTGTTGGTTCCCCTCGAGGACTATTGTTGACACCACGCTCATCTTGTTTGCCTTTCGTGTCGACATTGGCGCACAGGCTTCAAACCTTGCCAAGCTTAGCGCCTGACAAATTTAATATGTGCAGGTGATATAGCCGCCAGGATATATCAGCCAGGATATTCAGGATACAGGAGAGAGACAAGAGATATATCTCGTGCTCGAGTGTGAGCTGCCGTCTAGAGTCAGGCAATGCCACTAGGCCCCCGCCTAGCGCTTCAAGGCCTCCACTCCGGAGTGGATAAAATAAATGGAAGCTGGATACTGGCAGTCTTAATGAGGCTATGCTTACCCCGACTTCCTATGGCGAAGTGCTCTCCGAGTCAGCGTCTTCCACAGTATGACCTTATTGTAGTTACAGCGAGCGACGAAGGATATATATCTGAACTTCTCTTTCTTACTCACTTAACTCCAGCGATTGAGGACAGAGAGCCCCGATCCGATTAGTCTACCTGCTTGAGTAGGTAGTCGGCTAACTAATTATTACCATACCCTAGTCAGGAGTCAGGCTGAGGGTAAACTACCTTCATATTCCGCCGGCGGGCTGCTTTAGCAACGCCGGCCAGATAAGAGCATAAGGAGCGAGTATCGACTGGGCTGCAATAATAAATAGCGGCTCATTCTCTCTCTCTCCTTTGGGCGCTACTTTCCTGGCTAATCGAAGATTTACCTGTACAACTACATTCTAATATTATCTCAGCCACGAATACTTAAGGATGGTATTGGGTAACTCTAATTTGTGCCTCAATGTACAGCCGAGACCGTCGTGCCGAGAGGCCAAACGGCTACTCGAACTGTCGAAAACCAAGTATCTTCGCAGGCTCGAAGATCTCTCAAGGCGCCAAGCGTCACTTCAAAAGAAGCTCAGGAGTGAGCATCGGTCTATCGAGGCGTTGAATCAAATAGAGGAACAGGTGCATGCCCGCGGGTGGCTTACTGCTACGGGACAGCAACCCGCGGCAACATCCCCGCGCAAACTCCCCCCTTTGGTCAGCAACAATCTAAATTCAGAAGTTTGCCTGGCATGTGGGACGCAACCTTACAATTCAGAAGAGATGTCACTCGTCGAGCAGCTTCATTTAACACAGAGACCACAATTTATCCAACAAGCAATTGCAAAACAATATTTCGACGAGGGAAGAGTAGTCAACGTAGATTTGAGTGTTCCAAACAATCATTGTAGAGATGAACAGCTGCAGAGGAATAACTGTCAGGAAGATTTCAAAGTAAGACGAGACGGCAGAAGTCGAAAAAAAAAAGAAGTATCGTTTGAAAAAAGTGAGGAGTCTTGTAAAAGGGGGAAGATAGCTCGTACAAGGAACGATATCGAGGGGATGCAAAGCAAAAGAATCCTAGAAAATGCGTCGAGAATCGCTAGCGAAGAGACGAAAAGTAAAGAGGAGGCAAATAAAAGAAAAATGC